CAAAAATTATGTACAAAGCGGGGGTAGTTTTCATTACTTTACCATAAATTCCACCTGAACAGTAAATGAAACTTACTGGGCTGGGTTTACACGAAAGCTCTTTCAAAACGAAATGTGTTTCGGGAGGGGCACAAATTAATCCTTCCATACATTCGTAGTGAATGATATCAATGAAAATTAGCTAGTGAATCTCAACAAATACTCCACTGGGTGTTGGGAATAGTTAAATCGCTAATAAATACCAAGGTTTGATTCCTGACAAAATTTAATGAAATTAGAATGATGCTTTAGTGATGTACCGAAAACGCTTAACCATATCTACATATGTAACGGTGAAAGTCAGTTATAAACTATTTGTTTAATCAAGTTGTACAGATTTTATTTTGTTCTAACCAATTTTGTTTATTTTAAGAAACTTTCCATTCCCTTCTGATTTCAAATTCCTGCCAGAATGCAAATTTAAATGACGTATGTGCAAATCTAAGCGAGTTCGGAAATACGAGTAGTATTTAAGTAGCAGATTTTAAGAGTTCGTGAGTTTATGCTGCGTGTTGAAAGTAGCTCTGTAGCTTAATATCTGACGATAGCCACTTATTTTAGATTATATTGATATTCTAGGTTCGGCTTTACTATATGCAGCCGTTAAGCGGTTTAGACTGAGTAGAAGCCAGTCGTGTAGCTAAAAGTTAATTCATTCTGACTGTACATACTGTTTTGTGTTCAAGTTACTTAGCCTAAGTGGTGGTTAGTTTGTAAGCACCAACTGAGTGCATATTCTGTTCAGTTTTAGTTAAAATAAAAAGGTTGCTATAACCTTCGTCTGCGGTCATCCATTCCTTGAAGACATAGCGAGAATTTGCTACTTCGTCTTTCAATAGGGTCTACAGTTTATGCTCACAAAGTATACAAGAAGACTCTACAAAGTAATTTCTCATTCATGCTATACATTCAGTTAGTAATTAGCGTAGCAAATGTCACATCAAACAGATACTGTACGTGTAGCGCGAACAAGAAGAGACTTTCTAGAGTGCTTTCAGAATTTTTTGCATTATGTTTGTTTTGTAAAAATTAAATTTTCTTCATTTATACTTAACTTTTCTTTCTACTCATTAAATCGCAAATTATGGCTACAACATTAAATATCATTATATGCTTTCCCCTCTTTTAGTTCCATATTTACAACGAACGATTCAGCATCTAAGGTTTTTAACTAACCTACACCCCTCCCCAAACCAGAAACATTACACATTCCGGTTGTAAGATCTTTCTTGTTAAAGAAGAAAACTCTGAATACGTTCGATTTGAATTTATGTTTTTATAAATGGGGGGGGGGAGAAGAGTACCAGCGAAACTTTCACACAGCCAGCTTATTCTACATGCCATAAGCTAAAAGAAAATCTTATTCAGAGGAGCAAAAAGGAAGATAAACTTATTTTTCAGTCGTTAAGAATTTCATTACTTTAACTCAGCATTACTTTTAGGAAAATACCCGAAAATATTTAACACTTTAACAACTGAAGGCACACAATTCGTATTAACAAAGAGCTCCGGAATTTTCGATATAAGCTGCGCGATTAACGTCAGGAGGAAATAGAAGTAACCTTTCAACTGTCATTTCCTCACCTTGAGTGTCTGACAGACGTGATTTCAATTCACTTTCACCTGCATTCCAAGTTCCGAGTAATATAAACGGAACCTGTTACCGACAAACCATTCTCTAAATCTGAACTGAGTCAAGCAAACTGAGGATAGTTTCCTCGAACAGCAATTCCTGAGTACATTTGAATGGGAAAAATGAATGCGAAAAAATTATGCATCACTTTTAAGCAGAGAAGGATAAATAAAAAGATTAGGCTGTGTATCAATCAACTGGATTTAGTTCAAAATATTAATATTATTGCTTTTTTTTTTGGATGTTTCTGACTAACGCGTTCTCCCCCCCTTTTTTTTTCTTTCCAGGTATCAGATTTGCAATATTTGTCTAATTGCTGTATTATCATAGCAACTAGCATTTTTCGTATTCAGCATCTTCGCATCTGTTCTGTTTTGCAATTTACATGTTTTTTTTTTTTTTTTTTTTTTTTTTTTTTGTTATAAAATAATAAAATTAATTTGTTTGTTGCCTTTCCATCCATTCCTTGATGTCTTCAAGGAATGGATAACAAATAAATAATTTGTTAATTGCCTTTTTGATTTACTATTTTGTTAATTTTGACAATTTATTGCGCTTTTGCTGCGTTTGACAAATTTCCATTAATTAATAATTATAATTTTCTTTAATATATACAGAAGATAAAATTCGAAGTTATAATAATACCTTAAATCTTTTTTTTTATTTGGTAATCCCCCTTTCTAGCCTAAAAATAGGAATATGCTTATCTTTCTTAATAATTAATTTATTTATAAGTGCATTATTTCAAAACTACTCCTTTTCATATGATTCTCAACGCAATGCTACACTTATATAACGTTATCTTACGTACATAAGTACGCTAGACACGTACATCATGTACTTACATAACGAAAAAAGTGAAATTTAAGTCTTTTATCCAATAGCAATGAAAAATTTACAAACCCAAACCTTTAAATAAACCAGCATAAATAAAATGAAACAATAAAACTTCGCTATTCTTAATCTATTACTACCAGTCTCCGATCCTCTCGTGCTTTTGGAGCTGCTTAACATGTCAGCTGCCATCCTCTCTTCGGTTGCCAGTTAATAGTTCGGCGAATACGTCAAAAGTAAGCAAATATTCACGAAATAGAGAGCATAAGTTTTGGGCCAGTTCAGCACTGTATATTTTAAACATGTTTTGCCAAGAATAAAGAAGTGTTTCAACGGCATCTATTTTGTAGCCATCCAAATTTCAACATCTACGACAGACTCAAAATTTTTATTCTCTCTCTCTCTCACACACACACACACACGCATAAAATATCCATGTAAACAAATACAAAAATCTACTGTGTATTCTACTATCCATGCAAATAACTTCTTTAAGAATAAACTATTTCGGCAGGTGACATACAGTAGGTCATTTCAAAATGAAATGTTAAACAAAAAGTCGATTACTATTTCTATATCTTCGGGCAATTCACCTGTGAAGTCTAACAATGAATATAACAATGCAGCATCTACAAAAAAAAAAAAAAAAAAAAAAGTAATGACTTTTTAACAATAAATGAAATATTAAATGCTTAATATTCACCTCACTAGGTTAATTAACATTTCCAATACCAGCGAAAAATAAAAACGAAAAGTAGGGGAGATATTTGTACATAACATGACTCTGGATCTCATAAATATTAATGAGATATATGATTAAACATCAAAGTGCAATAAATCAGGAAAAAACAGGTTAAAAAAGATAGCTTCACGTACTGCCCAATCTTTATTATTATTTTTTTGAACTTGAATTAAATGCGGATTTAATTTCAAGTGAAGTGTGGAACTACCAAAGCGGAATGTAAATTAGCACGTAAGTGAGAGTGTTACGGAATGTGACTTTCGAAATAAAAATATCACGTAATTTTCCAACACACGCGAATGCCCCAAATATAAAAATGGATATTAGTACATGTAGCTAATCAGCGATACATAAATGAGTAGCGACATGATTCACATTATTATATACGGCGATGGCTCCCCTCCTGCTTCCAAAAATGCATTCCAAATTCCAAAATGCACGTTACAAAATAGAAATTATCAATCCTTGATATTCTGCCGGGGAAGTAAAATTGAATACCTGCATGTTACGCAAATTACGTAATGTCTTGCTCCTTCGCAAATCAAAATCGAAAGATTAAAATCAACAGGAATCATCTAGTTGGCGGTTCAAACAAAATGTCAGGGTGCCATTCCTAACTCTTAATTTAATTAGAGAACGTATTTTAAACAATTTATGAAGCAAAAAAAGTCTTTGAAATACCTTTGGTATACAAGCAAATATGCTTATTACTAATATTGTGAAGCATCTTATGGCCCACCAATTCTGAGGACGTCACATAACGGTCAACATTACCGATAGTCACGTCCTCTAAAGCCACCACCTCCACAGATGAGCAAAATCGTCAGAAACTGTAAGTTGTCGACTCACAGGCAAACTTACGAAAGGCAGGTCTATTTTTCTACTGAAGCGAGTGATCATTCTGAATGTATTTTGCGTCTGATTCAATCCCAAAGGAAAGGAAAATCTACGCTAAGGTCAATAGAGATACTTTAGATTTCATACCATGGTTATTTGTTGCACTTGCATCACACACAAAAACCTCCTTTTAAGACCCACAGTTCCAGACAATTTTGATCTTTCGTGAAGGAAATGTCTTAGACGATTGTCGATGATATTCAGCATAGTCGGTTCAGTATAGTTCAATACATATACAGAGGGTTATTCAATTATGTTCTCAAAAATACACATAATTTTCTGACACTTAATATTTTCATTCTACAGTCTTTTATAATGGTTAGTTTAAATAAAAGCAGTTTATATTCAGAGAAAAATGTTATATCCTTTCAAACTCACAGCAAATCCTAAATTCCGATGAATTTCGGTCTTGACAAATGACAAAGCTCACAAGCTGTCTTGAAAAGCTTGTTTAATAATGCCAAAACAATGCTACAGAACATCGGTATTCTCGAAAATTGACAGTATTTTACAGCTATGATCAATGAATAATTTATTAATTTTTCCTTTTCCGATGCCATTTTAACACGTATTCATTGACAAACTTACAGGTTTTCCTAGTTTATTCAATATATGAAATACCAATCTAGCAAGAAATATTTATTCGTCAGAAATTTGTATCTGATAGAAAGTCTTAAAGAATGACCTACGAATTTTAAAATGGAAGATAAATAATTCGCATGTTAAGAAGCTGTAGGGATGAATGCAATTTTAAAACTAATGGAAAGAAATGGCAACATATTTTATTTTTAATGGAAGAATTCCTATCATCATAATACAAGAAAATTTAACTGACCGGAATGAATCTGGGGGGGGGGAGCATCGGAAGCTCTTAAATAATAAAGTTTCTTGTTCCAGTGAACGAACTGGCTACGTGTAGTGTAATATAGGTTAACTCCTCTTCAGGCCAAGAGCCCTTTTGCATTTTGCAGTTATCAAACAATCCTTATCCGCTGAAATAAGCCAACACAATGTTGACATTTGCTGTTTATCAAAGTAGCGATGTGTAGCATTTTAACATGCACTGCACCTAAAAAAGATTTTAAAAACATTTTTTATTATTTATTTATTTTTGACAGCATTATATTTATTTATATATATGATATTTTTTTAAACTTATTCTTATCTTTGAAAGATGCTTATCAAGTGCGAAGCGCTTAGCGATCATTTGGCATCTTATCAACCACTATCAAGTCTTGTTGACATACATTTGTCAGATCACGCCTTTTTTTTTTTTTTTTTTTAAATTTCCCAAAAGTCTAGGTAAATTGCTCATATGACTTTTCATTATGCTGATAGTAACGCCGTTTCTCCCACTCTTCCCTCCAATATAAATAACTGGCGTTCATAAAAGAAGGCAAACTTCCGTTTTACGTTTCCTCGGTGAACTAACTCCAAGGCCTATCTTTATCCCAGTGTAGTACATTAATCTTTTTTCGAACGCTGATAAATAGCGTTTTTGAAGTTCGTAACGAATAATAGTTCGAAGAGGAATTATGGCATGAAGTGATAGCAATTTTGACATATTTTCAGTAGTAATAGCAGAGTTCATAGCAATTATTGAGTTGAAGTAAAGTCCTGATCTAAACAAGGAAGTTCAGAAACAGAGGGAGGCGGAAACTTCTATTAAAAGCACAGCGCATAATATCATATTTTAGGATGAAATTTAATTTTTAAATAAGCCAAAAATATTAATATATTAACACAAAATTCACACTTTTAGACCTTTTTAGAAACAGAAAAGCTTTGTGTAGGAAGAACATTGGGCAGATACCACTTCTTCAAGGAGGAAAATTTTTTACCAAACACTTCTGAGCAGAATATTTTTGTTCCTTAAAGATGAGAAACTATAAGCCAGATTCTCTTAAATTCGTTGTAGTTTTTCTAAGGCAGAACATTTCTGCTTTTCGAAGAATTTTGTACCCATCTCTCTATGTACATATTTCTCCTTGAAGAAAAGGAACCACTAGCCAATCTCTCTCGAAATACGTACAATCTTCCTGCAAGAGTATCAAATTAAAAAATCTGATGTGCACACCACATGACTTATTTGTACGGAATATTAAATTATACGAATTTTTTTCTTGCATTTCGTTTAAACTTATTGGATTGAATTAAATCTATTTCGCCGACAGCGCATAAAACACAATAGAATAAATGCATTCTTTAAAATTCACTCTATTTGTTTATAGCGACACTCTGGCGCTAGGTTCACTTAACAGTATTATATTTCGTTCATATTATAACTCAGAATGCACAAAATTTATATCATTTAAAGAATTATCTAATCGTTGCTACATGTTTTGTTCAATAACTATATTCTGTTATTTAGTATAATAAAGCTAGAACGATGTATAAAAGAAATTAAGCAAACAAAACAAAAAAGGGCTAATCTTTGGAATATGGTAACAGGTAGTTTGGCGACATTTTGGTAAGGCGATAAAGGTTACTAGCTAGGACTTTAGCAGTGTACATGGATAAACTCAAGAGTGTGCGCAATGCCATTTTTGTGCAATTCTGGGATGTTTTTTTTAAGTGAAAATAGGTCGACGTGTACATGGATGATACCGTGTATGTGCAATTCTTAAAAACGCGGCAAGCAGTGGGCGATTCTACACTTTTTCCCAATTTCGCACCTAATCTTCGTCATGATTAAGCACTTTTGTTCCATAAAAGTTCTAGCATATACGTAATTCGGCTAGCAGATTGTTGGAAAAAAAAAGTTGAGTAAAAAAAAAAAGCCTTTACTTCCTGAAAACAAAATGGAGTTCAAACAAAAACTAGCAGGTTGCTGTAGCGGTTGGTCGCCAAATTTTCGCCAAAAAATCGCCAAGTTACCATAATCTAAAGATTAATCCAAAAAAGCAGTTTTTCACAGACGATTGAGTATTTCTCATTCAATTAATTCAGTTCTCACTTCGCGAAAAGGCAGAAATACATAAAAACTCAAAATATTTGTATTAAAAATTACGAAGTAAATCTTAAACACTTATTTCCTCGAAAAAATTCCAGAAAGGATTAAGCATGATTTAATTCGCAGTAATAAATAAAGGCGTTATCTTTGTTGTTGCGAAGTTACGTTTCTCTAGATTGGCAACAAATCCATTACTCTGCTGTTTCAAATATAAACAAGCAATGGCCTCCATCAAGAAAATTATTAGGCTTAGCGGTACTTAAACAACTTTAAAATTATTGATAATTCTAAAAATATTGCATACAGATTTACTAAAGGCATAAAAACCTTAACCGTTAAATAAGAACTACATAATTCAATCCTTTTTAAAGCAAAAATGTACAATTTGCAAACATATAAGAGTAAAGAAACTGTGATTACTGAGCCGGGTAACAGAGTGGATATATATATAAATATATTTATATACGTTTGGCGCGGCCGATTGCAACCAAAATATGAGGTTCACATCTACATGTTATAGTAGTCCTATATACAAAATTTCAACGTTCTGAGGCTACTCGTTTTTGAGTTATGCGAGATACGTACGCACGTACATACGTTCGTACAGACGCCACGAAAAATTCTCTCCAGAATTCATTTTAAAGCAGTTTTAGAATTTTTTTGGAGGAAAAGAGTCTTTTATTCTGTCCTTACGTACAGATATCACGCAAAAACATCGTTAAATTGTATTCGATAGCGGTCAAAATGGATATTTTCGTTGAAATATGCTGCCTGAAACTTTTCGCGATTACAATACTTCCTTTTTACTTCGTACAAGGAAGGTTTCTAAAATTTTAATGTGAAATGGGCAGTTTGCTGTTCTATGTCCTGATATAATGCTATTTTGTAACGTGACAAACCATCTTCTGGAGATATCTTCTCCCAAGTACACATATACAGAATATATACATATGTTGAAATCTCCTGATAACTTTTGTAATATTTTTGGAGAAGGAGATATATGAAAAATCATTGTGTTCTCGCCATGATTTGAACTATGGATTTTCTAAGATGGGCTCGCTAACTACACTAGAGCTCAAAACTTTAGCAATAAATTCATTTCTCAACGTAGAGCTTTTTGCGATCAGTACAGCGGAAAGCCAATTCAGTATAAAGGTGATACATATGCAAATATCAGCATCATGACGTCAGAGGGTACGTTAGAGCACGCAAAACCGTCTCGATGAATCTAGAAGGTATTGTCAAAACGTGAGGAGTCCAGCAATCGCAGTGCAAGGAAAGTTTTTAAAAAAAGAAAGACGCATTTCAAACCTTCTTCTGGAAGTGACCGTGGGATTATATGCGCAATATGAGTACAAGAAAACAAAAGGACGCCTTTATACGCGGTAGAAAGATTGGCAAGGTTGAGGAAGGAGTCTGAAAAACTCATCAATCTGACAAACGATTCTCGTCGGCAACTGAAATGGAAAGAGTAGAGGCACTCTTTCATCCCACTAACGTCAGGAAAAGAGACCGTTGGGGTGTTTCTGGCCTGCTTGTATAGGAAGGCATTATGACGAACGGACGGAGATCCACATTTTCGACAGAGGTTTATTTACCGGAGATTGTTACTGTAATGAGGTTATCCTCTTCCATGTGAGTTTTCTTCGAGATACCATTGGTCCCGATTTTGTTTTCATAGATGGCAATGCACGGCCACATTCGACTCAAACTATTGAGGAACTCCTGAAAAGTGCTATCTACAGAATAGAATGGCCAGAGCTCTACCCTGATTTTAAATCCCATTAAATATGAGTGGGATACTTTCGGGAGACGCCTGGGGGCACGATTTTACTCTCCGGAGATAACCCGATAATTGAAACGAACGCTTCTTGAAGAATGGGAGCTCTAACTCCAAGAACTGTAAGATATAATTTGGTGTTGAGTATCGGCAAACGGTGCAACGCAACTTAAAGTTATTTCGCTTAATAAGGCACTTTTGCGGTTTTCCTTCTCGACAAGATAATTTTTTGTACCAAAGCCATACTGTCAAAATAAAGCCTGTTTCTATTCATTTTATACTCTACACGTTCTACTCTTATATTTTTTTTTATTATTATTTTAAATTTTTATTTATTTATTTATTTATTGCTAGTATACTTTTCTCATTCTTTATGCACTGCACAGTGCTTCGGCAATATAAATTTTACGTCTCCCAGTTGATTTTTTTGCGAAATTACAACAATAACAAAATGCTTAAATTTTGCACATTAGTGTATATCACGCTAGGATGCTTGGAGATGCGATAATTCCTTTCTGCAATCTTATTGCATGAAGTAAAATGCATCGATATCCTTTCAGCAGTAGAATTTTAATAATAAGGACGAAAAAGATCAACATTAAAAGCTTTCCAACAGACGGACCATGTCCGTATTTATTAAAATTTGCTAAACATCAATCACTAAATTTGACAAGGAAAAAAAGATATTTTCTCTTCCGTGGTTAGCCCAACATGCTCAAATTTATACAACTAGAACAAAACGCAATGCCATAAAATGCATTTTTAAAAAGGAAATTGAAAATTTTGTTGATTACATACTGGGAAGGAAATGAATGAATGCTAGGATGGTTTTCTGGCACGCAATTAAAGCTCAGTCCGATGTTCCCGAAGACAGCACAATTTTTATTTTCTTTTAACCAATGAAAAATAAACGGGGTTGCATAACGCATTATGTGCTGTTTTTCTTTTACATCGCAGAGGTGTAGGATAAAACAAACTTACAAGGCAAGGACTAATTGTTAAGTCATTGACGAAGGTGAAGGTTAAGTGAAAAAATACTTTTCTTGTTTGTTTTTTGCCGATCGTTATTCATCTGATGACGAAGAATGCTTAGAAACTTATACTTTCAATACTAGCAAAAAGCGATTTTTCTCTGAATCCTTTTGTAGACTCTTTCACTATATTACTATTATTATTATTTCACTATATATATATTATACACACATTACAGAAAATGCATGCTAGGGCGGGGCTTTTCAGATGAAAAATGTTCTGTAACTGACTGGTTTATATGATATCACTGACCTATTCTTTTTAATTACTGCTCTGAACACCTGTTGTTCAAACAAAAGCAAAA